GGGATCCGAAGCCGAGCCCGAGATCAGCTCGGCGGAGTCCTCGTCGGCAGCGCTGAGGGAGCAGATCGAGAACCTGGAGTCGCTGTTGGGACTCAAACACGAAACAGCGGAATCATCCGGAGTCGGTGGCGGGGTACACGTTGGCCTCCCTAGCTTTGATGATTTGTACGGATCGATGTGAAATGGACGGTCGATGGGGGTTATTTTTAAGTGGTAATTTAAGTATTAGTTGCCTAAAATAACTGTGTTGTAGTATATATTAAAAATTTGGCACGTGCTGTAGGTGGATTATGTCGGTGGTAGTGGTTTTTCTTCTCTGTTGACGCGCTGCTTTTTGAAGTGCGGTTGTAGGTGGATTATGTCGGTGGTAGTGGTTTTTCTTCTCTGTTGACGCGCTGCTTTTTGAAGTGCGGTTTCCGTGCGTGAACCGCTTCTAATCAATTAATTAAGAGTTTTGCTACAGTGATTCAAAATATGAGATCAATAGAGGGGACAAGTGAGGTGTTTTTCTTATATTGAATAATGAGTTGGCCATCATTAATGATGGCCAACTTATTATCCAATAGAAGGAAGACACCTTACTTGTCCCCTCTATTGATCCCATATTTTGAATCTTTAGGGAATTTTTTATTAATTAATTATGTAGATGCCTTTCGCACGTACGGATGCTCGAGCTTTTTTTTTAATAAATAAAAAATGAGTTAGTAGAATGCTTTTGTTTAAAAGATTGTTTGTATCAAGTGCATGAATCTTATTAGACTTTTGCATAATATCCATCTACTACTAGAAATCTTGTACCTGCAAATGCGCGTCTGCACTTTATACCTTTCAGTTATGGGTGCGTTGGATGTAATGAGTTGGTAAGTATTGGAATCAATGTTTCCAACGAAAATTTTTAAATCTAAATGGATATGCTTAATGGTGTCAAACTTTAAGAAAAGATAGAATGATATTTTAAAAAATTCCTATACCCGCATTGTTTATTATTTATTAGTATGTAAGGGATAAGTATATTTTATTCCTTTTATAAGTTCTAGCTTTATTTTTATTCCTTTTACGATTAAAAGTAGAATGCACATGTAATTATGTGAGTACTAATTTCACGTCCTTGACTTTTGTGAAATGTGTTTGAGGGAAAAGACAGAGAAATAGATCGTAAGGAATGTTAGACGAAAAGAAAGATAACAAAAAGGAGAGAAATATTCCTTGAGAAATTACCTTTTTCCTCTTTCAACAGCAAAAAAAAAAAAAAAAAAAGAGGAAGTGTCCTCCTGCCATCCAAAATTTTCCATGCTCTCGCTATGTTCCTTATAGACCATGTGTAGATGCATATTTTGATCGAAGGGGTTCTTCTAATATGTTTCAAGCATAACATCTTAATTTATAACTAACATAATTGCAGGAATTATATATAGTTTTTTAATAAATTTAAATTAGGTATGTACTTTTGTAATTTTGGTAGTTGTTAAGCCAAAAATCTGACCTCTAAGAGGGACCAAACTACGTGCATTACAAAAGTCTAATCAATAATAACAGACTTCGTCTTGGTTAGAGCGGCTGCTCGCCCCTGACGAAGATCAGCCAAGACCAAATCATCCTCTCGGCCCTCCCCTCAGCACACTCATCGTGACTCCAGACGGGCTCATGATCCCTTCCATTGATAAAAGAGATAAAATCAAATCAATCCTCAGGTGAACTAATGAATCATAACTAACATGAGAGTATGATTGCCATGCATGTTCTCTACGACCTCTCTGACCATCATAACTACTTTGGTCGATGATAGAGTGACATGTAGACAATTCGGTTATAGAGAAAACTTTCCTCTCACTCATCTTGAGTGACTAGATGACGACATGTAAATCTCAAAACAATTCAACTCCAACTATCTTCACCAACTCATTTCCACCCTAAAACAATATTAATACCCTAAAAACATACCATTATGGCATAACTTCTTCGGGTAGGAGCCGTTCATGATGGCTTTCTACGGTGAGAGAAGATTAGTTGCATATGTTGCTAGGACTATCTCAAGACTAACGTCGTTTCAGGACTTACAAGAACAAGTGACATTATTTATATCCGCATCATGTATTTGTATGATTTCTTTATAATATATCAATGAGATAGAGAATTCAAAGGGGGCATGGAAGATATATAGTTCATTAGTTTGTTACCTCATCCAATGCACGGATAGTATATATAGAAAGATGATTAAGTCACTGTGGTGTGCATCAGAGAATAGAGGAGAGAGAATGTGAATGGGCATACTATTTATGAGATAAATGTGAGGTTTTAATCGGATTTTTTTTTAAGGTGAAACTAGCTAGGACGAGGCGTCCCATTCAGAAGTATATCCATATAAGAAAGAAGACCCAATAAAATATTGCTTAAATACTCTCGCTGTTGAAGGTATGGATGTTTTGGAGAGATGGGTGGATAAGGAGGGGACCTGCTTGTAGTCACCCATCACAAGTATCTCATAGAACAACCACATATAATAATAACCGTAGAGAAGACAAACATGTAGAACTGAGTAAAGAAAAAGACGAAATATAAAGTTTATATGAAAGTTTTTATAACATAAATGTAAAGGTAACGATGCATGAGAAATAGAAACTGAAAAAAAAAGAAGTTTAAGACTAGAAAAGGAAAAGTGTGGCCGGCCAGCATTTCTCCTAGAAAAGAAGAACGTTAAATTCCAAAAAATATAAACTGAGACAACTGTCACTTGTTGCAACTTCGTGATTAGTAAACGGACCCAAATCAGCGCGAGACGGATGAAACAAAGAATCTTCTTCGCAGAGTCCTCTCTCTCTCTCTCTCTCTCTCTCTCTCTCTCTCTCTGTCTCTGCTTTTTTTTCCTTCCTGTTAGGTGAGAAGTTATGCAGTGCAACCCCTTTATTTAGTACAATGCCTACGCCTATGCTGACAATGCTAGCTTAGCTACCCTAGTTAGTGATGTTATTTACATGCTTGATTCAAACGTCAAGGATTTGTTCAAGATTTTATTCTAATGGTGTGTTTGTCAACAAACTACACAAGACTAGATCAAAATCAGTCCTCACTTAATTAATTTTAAAACATTTTTTTGTTTAGCAAACAAGAGGATCGGATCTGGCCCTAATTTTATAGGCCAAAATAAAACCTTAAACTAGTTTTTTTGGACCGCAGAGGGTTTAGCACAACACTGGGTCACGACTGGTGCTGGCCCAGTTTTGTGTAGTTTACAAAACACACTCTAAGGGTGTGTTAAACTCCAAAAACTAGGCCAGAACTAAACCTGCTCCGGAGTTTACTTTTGATTGGAAAAAACTGGGCCAGTTTTGGCCTAGTTTCTCTTAGGTCAAAGAGAAGTCATAGAACTGATTTAGTGTTGGACCAAGGGAGTGGTGGTCCAAATACTGAATTGGTTTTATAGTAGAACTAGGTCAGAGTTGAACTTGACCCAGTTTTTGGGTGATTGCTAAACACACCCTAAGCATTGTTTTACTTTATCTAGAAATTAATTAGGATAATACATAAACTTAGAAATTAATAGGCTTTGAGACTTGAGGGGGTCGTAGAAAGTACCATAGTAGAGCTTATTATGATCTGGGATGCAAGTTTAGAGGGGGAGGGGGTGAATAAGGATGCACAAATATTTTACCAAAATAAAATAAATATCGAGATATTTCGCCAAATAAAACAAATATCGAGATAAGCAACAAAAATAGTTACAGAATAAAGTAAACAATAACCACAATCATAAACACAGATAATTTTATAGTGGTTCGGACAAATTCTATCTCTACTCTTTCTTCTCTTGAAAGGTCTTTCACACTATGATAAATATTCTCATAGATTGCAAACTCTAATTTCACAGGCTTTTAAAAGATATATATGCACCCTAGATTACTTCCTAATCTAGTCATGTAAACCCAAACAGTCTATCACTAGTGTATAATCTTAATTAACTCTAAGCTAGCAACCATCAATTAAAAAACGGTTTGAGTACTCCGATAACCGATCAAAATGATCATAGAACAATAGTCATCTATCAAACACAAAATATCAGTTCAGTGCAAATTAAAAAGATCTTACAGTCCTTTTTACTATCAAATCATTCTTCTGAAGATGAGAGATCAGATTGCAAGAACAATGGAGAATCACGAGATCCTAAGGTAGAAATCATTGACAAAATATGATTCACGAATGTAGAGTACGATGACGTTGCAAGCAAGTAAGGTTAGGGATGATCGGGATGATGAGCACAATCACTTCTTCAAATTCTAACTCTTCTCTCTCATCCTCTCTCTTCTTTTCTCCTCTCAATTAGGTCAATAATAATTGGGAAAACCGAGGTAGAAAAGTTACATAGAAAAGTTAGCTATTAGCAATGATCAACGATTGAGATTCAATCCAGCAAAATTGTTGATTCGACCCAACGTCCATCAATGGGCATACGCTCATCGATGGGCATTTTGCTCATTGATTGGTGAAATTACCCATCAATCGAAAAGTAGTCTCTGTCGAAATTTTCCATCAAAATGAGTTACCAAATCGATTGAAAATACACAAAGCCAATCGATTGACAAATGCTCATAGTTGCGCAAATAGCCAATCAATGCATGAGTGTGTGCCTATCGATGGAGCTGTTTGCAGATTCGTTGATTTGAGATGAAACTCATATCTGTTAGCCTCACTTTCAAGTATTTTCTTTGTCATCCTACACAAGTGATCTCAAACACAGATTAGTACTAGACTTTTTTTTCATTTTCTTTAATTAGTTTGGAAGACCCCCTCTCATCAAAGTATAAAGTTCGGGCGTTATAGATCTTCAAACTACATCCGTATTAGCATGTTGAATTTGAATCCTTTCCATAGCTAAAAAGTAGAAACACTATTGCTTTTCTTATAGTCGTTGATTGATTAAAGAGAGATTGTGAATTATTTTCTTAAATGTAAACTTGGAGCGAGTGTGAATCATGAAGATATGGTAAGTGTTATTTTTAGAATCGATTACAATTGTCAATCACCATTAATTAAATAATCAATGATTTGTAATGAAACAATTATTTCTTTACTATTTTTTTTGTCATGGAGAGGATCCGCATCTTATCATGCATGTTTGCTTATGAACTAATATACATCATACTCCTTTTAAAAGCACGAGTTCAGAAAAATATTTTAATGGTCAATATTACCATTCACTATTTTAAATATTCCATTTATATCTTAATCTATCCTTACATCCTATCCTAATCCTATGAGAATTATCTATAGCTTAACAATTTAAAAAATAATATTAATAAAATATATAAAACATCTTTATGGTATTAGTTTCTTAAGATAAAAAAATTATAAGTAGCTCACATACTATAATACATGAAGTATTGTAAAAAAACCCTAAAAAGTTTTAAAATTACACAAAATATCTTGAAAAGTTTAAAATTATAAAAACCATCAA